CTAATGTAATTCTTACTAGTAAAAACTGATTTAGAGAGCTCTCTAATTTAATTCTTACTAGTAAGAATGCAATTGCAGAGCTCTTTAATTGAATTAAAGAGCTCTGCAATTACATTCTTACTAGTAAGAATCGAATTAGAGAGCTCTCTAATCCCAATTGTTACTAGTAAGAATTGAATTAGAGAGCTCTCTAATTGTAATTGCTACTAGTACGAATTGAATTGTAAAGTTCTCTAATTAAATTTTTACTAGTAAAAATGAAATTACAACAAGTAAGGCTGGGTACAATTTAAGCTAAAACGGCTTGCCATAGATCTAGATAAACTGATATTGGTTCATCCATTCTCTGGTCTGTTAAAGTTAAGAAGGAACATTTTACCTACAGTCACAGGCACAGCCATTGCTATATGGGCTTATAAGGTTTTTTTTAGAGGTCCATGGTAAATCTTAATTGACTGTACTGGAATACAGATTGCAAAGTGGATTCTTTTTTTGACTATTTTTATTCACAAAGGAGGATGAGTCTGTTTTTACACTGTTTAAACTTTTCTTTCTTTAATTTATTAGCTAAAGGTGTTCTCGTCTGTGAGAGGCTTTTTGTCATGCCTTTTGATTAATCATTTAATATTCATTGAGTGGCATGATGAAAGGAGAGAAGTGGAATCACAAAGACTGTTTTCAGGTCTCTTCACTCATTCTCTCTCATTCACTCACTCTCTCTCTCTCACTCTGCGCCATGTTTTGCATGTCAAATTAACATTCAACTGGTTTTTTTGCTTTGCACCAACTGTGGAAAACAATCACTAAATTCTGTCGCTCCTATAACATCTGCGTCCACACGATTCAGCATCTCTATAATAACAGGCTCCACATACATTCTGGGTCGTGTTCAAGTCTCCTGTCAGACTTTCCAAGCTCTGGCCCTCTCTGGGAATTCCAGACCTGGCCGCAGTGGTAATGAAATTGGCTGGGTAGGCATTCCAATAGATCACAGCCCCACAGGCTCATGGGAAAGGGTGTTGGGAATCTGGTGGAGATGGAATAGACAGCAGCACATGAGAATTGCAGACTACTGAAAATGGCTTTATTCGCTGATGTCTCATCTTTACGCTTGACTGCGTGAGAGGATGGGTGGATCCGTTGTGTTATCCTGCTGCTGCCGAGATCGCTGTCGAGAAGTCTATGTCCTGTCTGCTCTTCTGAGCTTAATGTGCTTCGTAATCAAGAAGCCTAATGTGCTTTCAGGGTGGAGCTCTTTATGAGTGCAGTCTGTGGGTTTGAAGGAATAGGTCATCCAAAAATTCTAATCTGTCATCATTTACTCATCCCAAACCTGTAAGAGTTCCTTTCTACTGTGGAACACAAAAGGAGAAGTTCTGAAGATTGTGCTGATTGCTTTTTCTTTTTCTTTTTTTTTTTACGCAGATACAAAGTCCTTTTCAAGGAAAGTCAGTTCACTCAGAGGCCATATTTGCAACGCCTTCACAACCTTAACAATAGTTAATGCAGTTATTAAACAGAATTATTACGAGATAACTACATTTTACTGCTGAAGCCACTGCCATTTTGAGTTGAAGCTCTCAGAATTTTTTTCGTTTACAAGTTGTAATTGAGTTTTATGAGGATGTCAACGCTTTTTACAAGTCGGAATCTCATAACTACAGTAATTCCACCTTGAGACCCAATGACCGTTTCTATGGGAACTTCTACGGCTCTTTTTATTTTGAAGATGGGACTTATTCCGCCATATTGCGCATTGCAGTTTCTCCCATTCATATAGTAATTCAAGTGAACCATCTACCCTAACCCTAAATCTTTGTTGTAGCTTGAAAGCTTCCCTCTCCACTCATTGTAAACAATAACTCAAAAGCACCATAAATGTGTCAAACTTCAACCCATGTGCTATATTGAAAGTCTTCTGAACTCATACAATAGCTTTGTGTGAGTAAAAGACCAAAATTTAAGACGTTATACCTGCATAATTTCATTGTAAATGTATGGAAAAGAGTAACCAGCGCAGTTTTCAATATCTCTTTATTTGTGATCCATGGAAGAAAGTATTTTCTCATGACATGAGGGTGAGTAAATGATGGCAAAATAAGGAGTTGCTTTTCATAAAGCACAGTTTGTCACAGTGACCTAATCCCCACTGCAGTTTCATCAGCGTTTCCTTTGCCCTCTCTTACCGACTAAGTCTTGTTGTATCAGCAGAGACTGTCCTCTCAGCCAACTGGCTGCTCGGGCTTGTTGACAGAGAGCTTTGCTGGTATTTTTTCAGTGTTCGGGGTGTCTGATGGAGCAGGCTAGTTTCTATTGTGCTGAGCTACATCCATCCACATGAGTTACAGAACTGAATGAGGATAGAGCGTTCGGTAGTGCCACAATCACATCCTGTCAAATTTTCTTCCTCAGAGCTCAGGAAGAGGAATGATAAAGATCCACACTGACTCATTAGCAAGGATGTTGTCCCTTGATATGGGTGGGCAACTAGATTTCCCCCAAAATAGCATTTATATAAATACAATGTCTGTCCTAGATTTTTTTGTGGATGACACCAGCACTCATTAGATACAAGGAACTGTGGGCCTCATTTATAAAACATACACGCATACACAGGGTATCCGCGGGGTCTTGAAAAGTAAAAGGTGATAAATCAATTTTGGGAAAATTAAGACCCTTAAAAAGTATTAAAAAGTCTTATCACGGCTTTATAAAGTCTTAAATTTTGAAAGTATTTTTTCTAGGAATGCACCGAATATTCGGCCACCTAAATTTTTCGGCCGAAAACCAAAAATGCACTTTTGGGCTATTTTCGGCCAAAAATGTTCGGTCCTTTATATTAAAACCGAAATGTTGTGATGACGCAAACAGAAACCGCGACCTGCACGTGCTTGTCTGAAGCAACATGTCTGCGGTGTGGACGTATTTCAGTATATCTGAACCCGCGAGGAGACGGAAGCCTTGTTTATACTTTCGCCTGCCTCTGCAGCGCGAGTCTCCACAGACAGGGCGCATAACGTTACCTCTCCAAACGGTCGAAGCGTTTATACTTGACGCGCTCGCCGTTGTACTATTCTTTGAAACGACAGGGGACGACTCAAGTAACTGTCCTCTAACCATCAGGAATCGGTGTAAAGAAGAAAGATAAACACGTGACAATGTTTATTTTTTAGTAGCCTACCACCACCAATACAAAAATAATCATGTAAAACCCAGTAAACCCTGAGATTATTACTTGTGACATTACAACAAAATATGTATAGTAATATGTACTAAATTAACGCTCTCTTAAATATTTTCTAATTTCACAAACATATTTCATTAAGTTTCGTGTACATTTGTATTAAACATGGACCTTTGTTCATTAAAATGGCTTTTTATGCTAGTGTATGCTCATTTTTAAAATGTAATCAACTAATTTAGACGTGCAAACTGGGTGCTGGTGTGATGAGAAGTTCGTGCTCGGCTTTGTTTTTATGAGAGAACATTTAATTTTAAAACCTTTCTGCAGGCCAGCAGATTATTATTTAATGTACACATGGGGTCAAGTTAAACATTTTAGTTTGAATTTTATTTTATATTGTGCTAAATAAATATTTGCATAATTTGTAATTGATTTATTCTTTGAAAATGTTAATTTATGCAATTGCAATGCCTTGATTTTAGTAAAGTTTGTACACAGTCATAACCATAAATGCAATGGTACTTATAATTGGCATAATTTCTTTCGGTGTTTCGGTTTTCGGTTTTTCGGCCTTGGGTTCCTCTTTTTCGGTTTTCGGTTTCGGCCAAGAATTTTCATTTCGGTGCATTAATTTTTTCTGAATTAGCTGTCCAACAGTTTGAGTCCCAAAAACATCGTAAAAGTGTGTGAATTTAGTAATTTTGATTTAAAAAAAACCCCGAAGAACTGAGGCATGATTGTTGTTGAGGGTGGAGCAAAGTTTTGTTTTGTTTTGTTTTTTAATAAACTTTGCTTTGATTTACTATCCCAGCCTATTTGATTTTTTTTTTTATCAGAGTGGTCTATAGTCTTTATCACAAACTAAAACGGTTAAGTTAAAAGTATCACTGATGTAAATGGTTACAGCTTGAAGCGGCGGTGAGGTATTAAAAAATATTGAGAAGGTCTTGAAAAAGTCTTGAAAAGGTATTAAAATTAACTTCAAGATTCCTCCATATACCCTGATACAATCGGATTTCATCCTACGTCAAAAGTGAGGAACAAATACAGATTTAAAAGACAAAAACTGATGTGAAAATGTTCTCGAGTACAGCAACTAAAAAGCATCCGTACAAACGTTTTGCGCTCATATACCATTAATTAAAAATAATCCAACATTGATTATGAAATTGTAAAGATAAATAGGAAATCACAGTATGAATTTGTTGTTATGGGCAACATTTAAACTGCTTTGTGATAATTATGTCACTGAGATTAAGTCATTAATCCGTAGGAACATTTCAAAAACAACTTCTACATTTAGGATCATTCTACACACATCTTTCTAAATGAGGTCTGATTATGGTTACTTTAACTTATAATAGGACTCCTAAAAAGCAGTGTTGGAAATAATGTCATAAGATACACTAATATCTTCCTCAAATCTTGTCACTGGATATAAAAGGATCCTTTGTAATCCTCCTGATTCTCTAGAAGATAAATTCGGTCATAATTTACTCACGCTCATGTATGATTTTCTTCCTACTGTGGAACACAAAAATTTGAAAAAAGTCTGTTGTCCCCCCCAAAAAACACTCTCATTTTGGGGTGAACCTCCCCTTTAAACAAAACAATTAAAATAGACACAAGTTTCCTGAATCTTTGATTCCTTTTACATTTGTAAGAGGATCCGATCTGTCATTCAAACTCTTCCCAGTGCATTAACATGTTCCTCTACAATAACAGTAACAAGACTTGACTTTATGTAAATGTCACAGCAGCATCTCCTCCTCTCACTCTCTCCCCACTGAGGATGCGAAATCTGAGACGTCACAGTCTGAGAACCCTAAATGTTATTCCTAACAACCCTTAAGAAACACTTTGCCTGTAAGTTTTCTTCATGGTAATAAGAGAAACCCTGACACGGTTATCTGAGTTATCAGCATCTCCCGCCTGAAGCTGAATCAGCATTGACACATTGTTCCACTTCAAAGCTGTGGCGAGTGTGCGCTGAAAGAAAAAAGAGGGGGTTCTTGGAAAGAACAGGTGCAGCCTTTGGAAGGGGAAGAGCCCCTTCTGCCATCTGTTGACTTCTAGTTTCCCCCCAAACACACTCCATCACAATTCACACACGCCTGCTTGGTCATAGTGATCCAGGTTGCTATGGTGCTGTATGGGAAGAATAAGACCGCCACATGTGTGTGTTCAACTCCGGGCAGGCGGCTATTGTGTTTTGAGACATTCAAAGATTTGGGGAGGGGGTTGTGCGTGTGTGTGCAGACTGAAATAGGGCTGGATAAGGCGAATGACCAGTTGCTTTGTCAGATGTTAAGGAGACGCTGAGGTGCCTGTGCAGGGTTCTCCTCAGTAGATTTGTTTTTACATAATCGCACGGCCACAAGCCACTATTTGGAAGGCAAATTTACTTAGTGGTTGCTGGACTGCAGAGCAGTAGAGTAAATGGAGAACGCTTGAAATCAAACAACGGATTTGAATCTTTTCCCTTTCCCATCAACAGGTCACATCTGCAGACTGAACTGGGATATTGGGGGGTTTTTCAACAAAAACTGCAGAATTACAAAAACAAACATGGATTGTAAGGAGGAGATCAGTGACTCTGATAGCGGGATCATTTTAAACTCTGGTGAGTGCTTTCATTTCTATGTTAATTATAAATAATATTTAGAAGGAAGCAGAAAGCATATAGCTAAATTAGGTGGTGTAGTCACAAAAATAATTTTTTATTGGTAAAACAATTAAGGAATATTGGTGAAGCTTTCCTGTTTATTTGATTTGTAATTTAAAGAATAGAGGAAATGGAGTAAAGTCAGATAATGCGATTCAAACTCTTGTTTCCCACATGAACCCTACAGCACTTTTTAACAATAGATAATCTAAAGAACACAAGAAATGGTGGAGGAAAAGTCAAATGATGTGACTTGTTTCCCACATGAGCACTACAGTTCAGTGTATCAAAGCAGGCCAACTGCTAGGCCATGTCTCAAAGAAATGATCATTTTCATTTTGAGGATGTGAAATGTGCCCTATATGTGTGTGTGCTCTTGTGTAATGAAATCTCTTGTGTTGTCCAGGCCCAGACAGCCCCACGTCTCCGGTGAAGGACCTGAGTACTCACACGCGTACCATGAGGCTGAAGCAGCAGGCCCTTGAGGACAGACTGGAGTTGTGTGTCCTCGAGCTCAAGAAACTCTGCATTAGAGAGGCTGTGAGTGACACTGAAAACAAGCCATCAGGGCTGCCATCTCACCATCATGAACCATATTTTTTAGTTTAAGCACAGGGCATATATTTTAAATGTAAATATACTCCACATGGGGGCTTTATTTGGGAATTCATTTTAGTAGTCTAATTCAAGGTTACTCAAACCATCACATTCAGAGGGTCTGTGGAAAATTCTTGAATATTGACCAAAAATCTGCTTGAAAACCTAGCAGGCAACATGACGTTTTCTCTATAGAAAGTCCGGTCACAGTTTAGATTAGGTTCCCCTCTATTCTCACTATTAACTAACCATTAACTATGTCTTTTGCCCCAATAAACTCATAATTACTGCTTATTAATAGTTAGTAAGGTAGTTGTTGTTGAGTTTAGGTATTGGGTAGGATTAAGGATGTAGAATAAGGTCTTGCAGAAAAGGCATTAATATGTGCTTTATAAGTACTAATAAACCGTCAATATCCTAGTTATATACATGCTAATAAGCAACTAGTTAATAGTGAGAATTGGACTCTAAACTAAAGTGTTCCCGAAATTTCTTCGATAAAAAGTTTTAAGCCGTGAAAAGAAAAGTTAACCAGGGTGTGCCAATAAAAAAATAATAATCATAAAAGGGCTCCTTGGTTCAGAGAAGTTTAACATTGGCCTAATTAACTAATGAGGCATAATAACTTCTAATCAGGAAAAACGGTTACACAACCGTTCAAAAGTTTGGTCTCGATAAGATATTTTAATATTTTTTTAAATGACTCACCAAGGCTGAATTTATTTGATAAAAAATACAGTAAAATCTATAATATTGTGAAATATTATTACAATATAAAATAATTGTTTTCTATTTTAATATATTTTAAAATACTAATATACAAAAATACAATCATTACTCCAGTCTTCAGTCACATGATCCTAAAATCATTCTAATATGCTGATTTGATGATCAAGAAACATTTATTAAGTAGCACAGCTGTTTTCAGCATTAAATTCAATGTTCATAATGTTACAAAATATTTCTATTTCCAATAAATGCTGTTTTTTTTTGTAAACATCCTTGCTAAATAAAAGTATTAATTTCTTTAAAACAATTAAAATCTTACTAAGCCTAATCTTTTGAACACTACTGTGTATTACATGCAAATTTAATTAAGCGTAAAAAACACTTTTTGCCAAAGTACATAGGAAAGTTTACAACACAAAAACCATCCAATCCATCATTCGTCATCATTTTATTAATACATTTAAAACGCAGGATTTATAAACAATATACGGTATAAGTATGTGAGCAGCACCGCACACTGACTTGTGTGATCGAAGAGCTGAACTGCTGCTCATAAAATCACTTGAATATTATATATGTAGTTCCAATAATTTTAGGTTTTGATATTTAAAGCAGATGAAGCACCACAGTCTTCACCACTTTAAGACAAAAAATATGATTATATTATAGGAAAGTTTCAGTAGGAAAGTCAGCTGGTCCGTAAGGGTAAATCAGATTGCTCTGATTAAGCCGGGCTTCTCTTGTTCTCAATACAGCCCTTCAATAGAAGCACTAAAGCCAATGGCCAAGAAACAGATGCTTCTTTGCATGTTAGCCCACATGTCTGTCATTCACTACTGGGCAAGTAGGGAGAAGATTTAAGGGCCTAATCATCACCCTTTGTGGACACCTCGACAATATAAAGACGAGCATCTGCTCGCTCAAAGATTTTGTTTTGTTTTGTATTGATTAACAAACATAAAGTTAGTTTTCTTTGTCATTGCTTTTCTCTGAGTCCTCTTATGGTTAAAATGCTTTGCTTTAACAGGAGCTGACTGGAAAGCTGCCCTCCGATTACCCTCTCCTGCCTGACGAGAAGCCTCCGAAAGTTCGGCGACGCATCGGAACCGCTTTTAAACTGGACGAGGGTTTTATTTCACAAGATGGCGAGGTACAGGCCGAAGTTCCTACACGGAGATTATTTTAATAGATATGCTGCAACTGGCTGTTATTTGAACCTACCTGGCTAGTTTTAATTGGTATTATTATTAAACTGAATCCGTTCCACTTATATGGAAAAAATTTTTACGAGGTGCGTTTATTTCAGCATTTTCAGCTTGTAATCATGCGGTTACCCCCTCAAATGTTTGTCTCCAGGAGTCTGAGCTGCACGGGCTCGAGGCTGATCTCGCCCTGCAGCGGCAGATTTATGAGGCGGCCCGAAAGCTCTCCCTCGAGGAGCACATTAGCAAACCGGTGAGGAAAAGCCGACTGCAGCAGTGTAAACGTGAAGAGAAGAAGCTGAAAGAGCTGCAGGATGCGATACTGAAACACCGCATCAACCACGGCTGTGTCTCTCCGCAGACCTGCTATTCATCCAGACAGAGAGGTCAGCCAATCAGAAGCCAATGTTTCTCATATAAACTAAACTTCAGCACTACAAAAGTGATTGTTCATTCAAATCAAATAATTTAAATAATCAGTGGCGGATTTAGCAAATTGGGGGCCCAAGGCAAAGGTAGTATGGGGCCCCCCATCTGATCTTTAAAAGAGAACGAAATTTTTTTATTTTTTATTTTTAAATAAACCATTAAATGGCACTTTCTGGAGAGTTTTGTGCAAAGAAATATAGAAAAAAGTAGGTCTAGCAAGTCTTATATTTCTGTAATTCACACAGATCAAACACAAATATGCTGACTGAATAGATTGCTAGTTGAGAAACACTGCTTTAATTAATGTTTTTATGATGACTTTGTGAAAGGTTAACTAAACAGCATGAGCCGTCTTCCTGCTGGCCAGTTATTTGGCAAATTTCATTCATACAGATCTGTATTATGCTATAGTTTTTGATAGTGTTATACATTTCTTACAGATAATCACGATGATCATTGCGTTTGTCTTACCGAATGTGGTAGCTTTATGCAATTACAGTTTGTCTTTAAGCTTTTTTTTCATTAATGCCGACAGTAAAATGTTGCCAGATATTGCTACGAAAAACAAGAAAAACAAAACAAAATAATAATCCGAAATAAGTTCAAAGCTTGTGTTTTTGAAATAAGATTAATATATCACTAACCCTAACATGCAACTTTCCACTTTAATAACTTCCTAAACTAAAGTGTCACATTAAATCAGAAAAACAAGTCCAGAAGTCTACTGCCACCTTTCCATTAGGTGGATCTGGCAACACGGAGGCTGCACGCGCGCCCTCACTCACAGCGCGCTCTCAAGCCCCGTTCACTGCACTAGCTTCTCGCAGCAACATGCGTTGCAAACACTCATATGAGGTGGTTTAAACGGGTAATTAATAATTCAGAGAGCTTGACATTTTATTTTTTAATGTAAAAAAATGACAGAGTTAGAGGGGGGGCCCTCCTGTCTGCGACTAATGATTTGATGCCTTTCGCAAATGTTTTTTAGAAATATATAATTTGCGAAAAGTAAAAAAATAATAATAATAAATAAGCATAGTTTAATGGGGCATTTTGGGGGCCCCTAGGTAGCTCGGGGCCCAAGGGAATTGCCGACCTTTGCCTAATGGTTAAGTCCGCCCCTGTAAATAATACAGTCTTATTTGTTGGTCCATTTCAGATCCTTGTATGTCTGATGACAGCTCGCTGTCTGACGCTGTTGCCTTGGATGATGGTAAGTGAGCAACCCTTTATATTCTGGTTAAGATAAACTTAAACTCAAACTTTCACACCCCACTTTATATGATCATTTGATTACTAGACTGTAAGAGTTTGCTAATGTCGAAAAACTGTTCTTCATCAACAGATTCCGACTCTACTCCCTTTTCTCCGACTGTTCTGGGGTCTTCCACAGACAGCGGCTTCAAGCGATTGACACTCTTAAACAATAATGTCCCAAAGCAATCGAGCTCCAGCTCAAGTCTGGACTATGATGCCTCACCCATCCAGAACTCTCCGTGGAAGGAATCCAGCTTGGACCAGCCCTACCAAAAACAAAAACCATCTCACTCTGCCTGCAGCAGCCGCTCAAGGTATTATGGGATATTCTAGTTTTGAGCCAAATGATAGATGTTTTAGTTGGAGTATATATAATGTAAGCGTTTACTTTGTGTTGTCAGAGCTGTTTTATAGGGACTTGATAGAGTCACGTATGCTCAGCAAGGCTGCATTTATTATTGATCAAAAATACAGAAAAAGCTTTTTAGTTTAATTTTAGCATTTATTTGAAATAGAAAATAGTTTTTACTGTCACTTTTGATCAATTGAATACATCCTTGCTGAATGTAAGTATTAACTTCTTTATAAAAAAAAAAGTATTGACCCCAATCCTTTTAACGGTAGTGTAATAGGTCACAGGTCTGTGTTTTGACAAATATCTTTTACACAACCATTACTGAACAAATCGGCTTTGATTTTACTAATCAAAGAACCTTTGTTGTTACACTGTTCATCCAGTGAGCTGGTTTGAGGATAAAACATTCTAACAAAGAACTATGTGTCTATTTTAGATACATTTATTATCAGTATGTAATCTTCATAATGATCTCATGAATTGCTTCCTCTGTGTCAGCAGCAGTCCAACAGGCTCACCAACAGACACGAGAATGGCAGAACTTCCTCCAGCACCCCAGTTTGTTTTTAAAAGTCTGCCAGTGAGGAACAATCAGCCAAACAGCGCCCCCTCCACCCCAGAGCTGCCACTGCGCCGACAGTTCTCTCAGTCCTTTAGGTAAGTATTATACAAATAACAGTCAGCACTGGCATTTGAGGATTGTCTGAATACGGTTCATCTTTAATGACATAATGAATACCATTAAATCCTCATAATTATCAGTTGTACAACCACTTAGACAAGAAGGCACTGACAAGTAAATATATATATATATATATATATTAGGGCTGTCAACATTAGCACGTTAACGCATACGATTCATTTTTGTCCAGTTTAACCCATTAAAATATTTAACGCAATTAACGTAGCATTCGTTCATTTTTGTCATCCTTTGGCTAGCATTACATTATATGATCCCGCTCTTATTCATGCAAATGCTTTTAAACCATTCAAGAGCGACAAGACAGAAGAGAACGCACTGCCTGATGCACACAAGACGCACAGAAAGACGCGCACCAGTATCGTGGGCACAGACAGCGCGCCAGAAGAATACAGTTCTCTTTCGCTCTTGAACGAACAATGACACACATACATTTATGCCAAAATGTTTTGTCGAGTATCCTCATAACATAAGAGCAGTCTTAAATGGGTTAAATAAAGTCTTAAATGAACGTAAAGAGACGCGTGTGAGATCCACGTCATGTGCAGCAGCGGCTGGTTTTAAAGGGACAGCAGCCAGTAAAGCTTTCTGCCAGTAAAGTTAATCAAAGAACAAAGGAAACAAAGAAAATTACTCTCTGCTCTTGGCTTAAGAACTTTTGTAGCTTTAATAAGGATTTGTCTGTTTGACGGGTAGAAAGGGGCGGGCACAGGTAAATATTACATTTATTATGGGTTTATGTGAGGATTGTTTGAAGTTCACTTAAATTAAAAGTTGTTATATTTTTTGAAGCCTATTAAATGTAAAAAAAAACAATTGATAGCTTTCAAGTACACTGTAATGTTGGATGGCAATAGTTAATTTTTAAAATTGGGGGAAATCCAGACATCAATAGCTAATTATTATCAGTGATTCTGACATTCGTTCATAAAAAGATGCCATTAAACGAGTATTTACAATATACTGTCTTCATGTTGTCTCTACATTAATTTGGAGATTAATTGGGAAATTATTACATTATAAAATATATAAACCTATAAAAACGTAAGTGTTTTTAACTGCAATTAATCGCAGATTTTTTTTTTGATTAATCAAGTGAATTTTTTTAATCGATTGACAGCACTAATATATATATATATATATATATATATATGTAGACATCAACATTTCTATTCTACCTGCCGTCTTGGACATTTTCACTGAGTTCATCATAGCAAATTTGTTCTGCCTTACTGATCTGATATTATCTCCTATCAAATAGACTTCCTAGAAGCAAACCAGAATTGACCAAGGCCAGCTCAGACCTGGGACGGGGTCGGACCAAGTTGCCGCGTCGACGAGTGACTGAATTTGCGTTAGCCTACTCGGTTCAACGTTTATATCAGTGCAGCTCTGAAGACAGCAGCTCCGAGCTTTCCATTTCCTCGTATAGCAGTTCCTCCAGCCGAGAGACAACCACCGAGGCACCTAAACCCTGTCCGCCTCCATACGGCTACCATCGCACTGCTCCAAATAAAGCACCAGGCCAGCTCAACACCAACAGCACACTCAAAAACAACAACAACAACAACCCACCTCACCTCATGCCCGGCCCCAGTCAAGTCAAAATTAACAACAGGACACCTCTTCAGGTGGACATGGGGAGGCTGCAACTCGGAACGAATTCACAATCTGGGACCATGCATACTAATAAACCCCAACAAGTGGAGGTTACTTCACCCAAACGGATGCTCAAGCCTCCCCCGCCGTACACAAAGGTAGTCCGCACGACGTCGCTAAGAGAATTCCCCAATCATCCCAGCCGGGTGCTTCCTCGAGAAATGGTATCAGGAGAGCTTAAAACCTGGCATCAGAAAAACAATTTAGCCGTGTCCAAACATCGCTCACTTGAACGACAAGGATCGATTCGAATTAAGCGCCCAGAGCCGCCACCTTACCACCAGATTCCCTCTCAAAAACAGGTAAAGACGTTTATCAATACCAATTTCATAAACTGAGCATCATGAATAAAATCTGTTCTTGGCAGTTAAATAATGAACATTCTTGTGTTTCTTTCCAGGCTTCTCAGAAAGTGATTCTGCAAAGGGCTTCCGATGGAACGCCACTGCAGTGGTTTGAAGAGGAAGACTCCGAGATTGTGAGTCAGGTGTAACCAGGTAGAAGAAACCTGGAGGAAATTACACTGAGAATAAGTGAACTCATTGTACACCTTCTTTAGTTTTATTTATTGAGCCAATGGACTCATTGATGTAGCCTGATAGTGAAAATTATGTTAATTCTCACCAAGACTTTTTGACCAAGTTGGAGCTGAGCCAGTGAAATATACGCCTCAATTCCATATATGCCTACATTTGTGATTAAATTTCAAGTCTAAGACTTCCTCGTAAGGCATCATGCCGGATATTTATGATGAATGTATAATATAATGGTAATTCTATTGATGTCAAGAGAGTGTTGCTCACTTTTGCAAATGACTGATGAATGGCCTCATGGAAATGACGTCATTTAGTATATATTTGTGTCTGGTACACATTTCTTCATAACTAAAGTATTACGTAATGTCTTAGTTTCCCCATTATTTTATTTAATTTAACACATTATGAATAATATATTATTTTTCCATATTGTTTTTTATTTGTGAATTAATATTGCCCCTTTGCTAACACATTTTTTTAAATTAGTGAAATGTTTCAAGAAGTGTTGCTCTGCTACTGTAATATGCATTGTAATAATCCATCTGTGAGTCTTAATAATACCAAATGCAGATATTTTCCTTCATGTTTGTACACTAATTATGAAATATATTTTATATTATTTATAATACACTTTAATAAACAATCTCACAGATCCTCACTAGTATGTCTTGTGCTTTTTTGTGTTTGTCACATTTTCAAATATTTCACATTTACATTTAATAAAATAGAATAAAAATCTTGCACTAGCACTTGTTTTCTGAGACAATTTGCAAGCTATACATGAAACAGTTTCCCCTAAAACAAAGTTAAAACTACCAAACGGTAACCAAAAGCTATCAATAGTACTTTTAACAGATTCATTCCATTTTAATTTCTATGGATATTTATTAGAATTTTTCACATCCATAAGACAGGTGTTTGTAGCAGCCACACTAAAATGGCTAATATTATGATTGAGCAAAGAACAGTGAGGTAGATGACCAGGATTATCCAGCGGCAGTGATACATCCATTGCATCAGGGGGCGCTGTCTGAAACCATACAAGTGAGTTCCAAAAAAAAAAATGAATGCATTAATAATTCAATAAATAAAAGAATAAGTGAAAAAGGAGTTAACTCACAAGCTGATGACACATCTATCACAGTCTCTGAAGTAGCGCTCGGATCTCTTGAGCCAGGCATGACTGTGGTCCAGCGCTGCCTTGCTCTTCAGTCTTTGATGAGGTAACACTGGCAGTGAACTTGTGTTTCTCTTTTGACTGTAGCAGATATAAAATCAACAGTCTCTTAGCACCAAATGCATGTGGTTTACTTATGTCTCTAATGCTACATTAAATTGAATTTATTCATGAAAGTTCTTCCACAGGATTAATGCCAATGGTTTAAGTAACTTACTTTTTTACATAGACAGGGTCCGGCTCAAGTCTCAGAGTCTGGCTGGGAAGAATTTGGGCAGAGGATGTCTCCTCAGGACTATTCACCATGGCAGTTTGTGAGGGACTGTCCTCTCGAGGTACTACTTGCCTTAAGAAATGTGAGACTTTAGATATGGTATCAGACCATAAAAGTCAATTTAAATTAACCTCCAAAAAATGTTATGTATTTTTGAGTAAACGATGTAAGAAGGAAAACTTTAGGACAGGACTTCAGGTCAGAAACTTAAAGAAAGTCAAGGTTCAAATTTAATTTCATGTTGACGAAATGGCAGAAATTCACCCCATCTACTTTATAAATGCATGTGAGTGATCTTAATGAGAACTGTTTCATTTTTTTTAAAGACAAACCAAGCCTCCACCCTACGTTTTTTTTTTTCTTTTTCAATAATCTGTTTCAATCAGATGTACATCACAGTAGAGTGCTGTAGTGATGATTTTGGAAGGCCAACCCGGAAGTTAGCATGACCCTGCTTCCCTTGACAAAAACCCAATAGGATTTTTCCATTGGCTTTTGGATTATTTCACAAAATAAGCTCTGTTGATTTTTGCACGTTTTGTTAAACTTTTAAAAATTGTGAAGCCTAAATACAACTGCCTAAAAACTGCACCACGGTCGCATGACTTCAATATCACCACCATTAAGCTTCCGACAACTCTTTCGGCGGTCATTTTCCCTGGAGGTTTGAGTTAGAGCGAGATTATAAACACAACAAGGCTGTGAAAGCAGAGTAGAGAGTAGATGAGTTTAATAGTTTAATGTCCCTGACAAAAGCTGCAGTCCCATTTAGCCACTTGTTAGCAAATGCCAAGTAAAAGCTTTTTTTTTTTTTGAGTGAGTGAGTGAGTGGGGGTTTTACTTATGTATTTTATGCCGTAGAATAAAGCTTATGTTATCCACAGATCTTATTACAAGCATTTAACCAAAAACCCATTGAGTTTGAGGCGATGGAATCTAAACTGCTAAAATGCTAACTTATTTCTGGGCTTTGGCCTTCAAAAATACGTCATCCCTGCAGCATCCTATAATGAAGAGAAATTCTGTTGCTACAGACTTAAAATGTAAAATGTATTCAAATTACCCTCTGTCCATTAGAAGGCAGTCTTCTGTGTGGTCTGGTTTCTTTGTGTTTGATTCTCTCTCTCTGTCACTGATCTCATTGGTCACTGAAGATAATATAGCTTCTGACTCCTTTACTTTTTGTCTCTTCAAATAAAAGAGAAACGAAGTAAATCAGATAACATCAGATGTTTATTGTGGTTAAAATGTAATTGAGTGAATGAAACTCATTGTGCACCGACCTGGGTTTGCTTTGCGATGACATTTGTACTGATTCTACGCCGTAACTGTGGCTGAGAGGGAGACGGAAGAGAAAGAGACAGGTATTATCAATCAGATGATACTCTAACAAATCATTTAATTCACACCTCAACTACAAATTATTTAAATATCTACATACATTCAGAAAACAAACAAGGATAAATTTTAATCAGGATAAAACTGAACAAGTTTGCAATCAATACCTTCTGTGGGTCTTTTTCCAGCTTTTCAATAGAGTCAATTTCCTCTGCAGTAAAACACATACATTTTTTTTAAATGCTAGTGGGTGGATCACAACTTTAACATCATGAGAGAACCGAATGGGTGTTCTCCTACCCCTTTGCTCACAGAAATGTCGCTCTCTGCTGCTTTTCTCCATCTGTTTCTTCATTTCCTCCAATACAGCACTGTTCCTCTTGTGGCGGCTCTTCAGGTTCTCCACATGAGCCACCATCAGTTCCACTGCATGGCTCACTTTAGCCTCCTACTCACAGAGACAGAATTGGATTTAACATATTAAAAGGACATTTATTGAGCTACCAACTCCAGTAGGACCCACTGTAATGTTCTCTGGCTTTGCTACCAGAGTAAAATCAAGTATGGACCGATACCTGATGCACTGCCCCAAGAACCTCTGCTGTGTTGGAGATTCGTCCGATGGTGCCCCCGATAATGTTAAGACACAGCTCAAGACGCTGAAGGAGCCTGGCCCGTTTGATATCTAAACACATTCCCTTGAGTGTCTGTGACAAAAATACACTCCAAGAATCGGCATATGGCTGAATCCCATAACAAAAAAAAAAATCAATAATAAAAAAAATCTATAATCAGACTGTAGTCATACCTCAATCACTTCCATGCTTCTTTCCACTTCCAGTTTGAGGTTTTCCTCAGCATTGTCCCGAGCGTGTTCCTCTGTCTCCAGCCTTTGACACAGCGTGAACTGGTCACAGTGAAAGGCCAGAGACAGCCGAGAGAAAGCAGCCTGTGATCGCAGCAAAAAGAAAAATTTAGGGGAAAAATGTATTCAGAAATAATCAGTATATTCAATATACTTTGAATTATATTTAAATGGGGTTTCCCAAACAGGTGAATAATTAATTAAAAAAATGTTTTTTTATTAATAATAATAAAAAAAAAGATGACCTTTTATCTGTGTACCTGCATGTCTCGTGACATCAGAGAATCGTGAGCATGTGAATAGGTTGTTCAATTATTAAAATATTAACTAAAAATCGCAGGGGGTACTTAAATTTTCAGTATTTTAGGTCAAAGGGGCCCGGCTGACAAAAAAAGAATCCCCTATGTAAAGGTGAGAAAAAAAATTTATTTCAAAATTGATTTTGACTGCATTCGTTTGAATATGGTCAGCCATAAAACCCGCTACTAGATATTTAGATAAGGGAGAATCTACATGGAAAAAAAAGTTATGCCACACTTTAAAGAAAACTCATACTCATCCAATCACATCATGTTGAGGTAACAATATTGTATACAGTATATATATATATATATATATATACATATATATGTGTGTGTGTATGCATATACCCCCGGTTTCACAGACAAGGCTTAAACCTAGTCCTGGACTAAAATGCATATTTGAGCTGCCGGTAACACTTTAGAATACGGTTCCTTCGTTAATGAATAACTACACAAGAACCAATGAGTAACACAATATTAACAATCTAGTAACTATTATTAACTAACAAGAAACTCTGATTAACGAACTAGTAAGTAATAGCGCACAGATGAAAGTGGTACTTCACTATTAACTAATCAATAACTACTATTTTTTTAATGCTTCCCAGAGAACTACTGAAAAAGTTTAATTATTCATGCAAAACTAATCAATAACCAATGCAGGACAAATGACTAGCACTACATTAACATTTTAACTGCTACTGTAAATGAATACACAAGGTTGTTTACATTATCAATATGTAATAGCATAGCCGACTTATGATTTGGGAAAGCTGTTAATAATTGGCCTATGCTGTCTATTTATCAACTGAATCATTTTAAAGAAATGGATTTTTAAATGCAGTTGTCGGGACCTTACTTGTCCTGTGGCCAATTTTCCGGCATTCCTCTGGACTGGCATTGAATCACTAGAGTCATGGTGAGTACTGGAACATATTGAGTCATCAGCCACCCAAATACCATATACAGTTATTTTATTATTTAACCTACCTCCCCAAAAAATATGTTTTTATGTATGTCTCCTAGCTTATATATATATATGTGTGTGTTTGTGCATACCTTGTGAGTGATTAGAAGATTCTACACTTTATTGGCTTTTCATTTAGTAGCTACTGTAAGAATCATGGTAACAAACTAGTAATGACTCAAGTGTTACTACATACTTATATGGGAATTACTAATTATTTGGATCCGTATTTTAAAGTGAAGATCATGGGAACTAACTAGTAATGACTCAAGTGTTCCTACTACATACTTCTAAAGAAATTTACTAAAAGTATACTATTTAAAAGTTCACCAAAAATCTCAAACGCTTGAAAATACTTTTGTGTTTGGTTGCACAAATCATGACTAGATCATGTAACACTTTAGAATACGGATCCAAATAATTAGTAATTCCCATAGAAGTATGAAGTACCACTTTCATCTGTGCGCTATTACTTAGGCTACTAATTCGTTAATCAGTGTTTCTTTTTAGTTAACAGTAGATTGTTAATACAATTTTCAGTAGTTCTCTGGGAAGCATTAAAAAAATAGTAGTTATTGATTAGTTAATAGTGAACTACCACTTTCATCTGTGCGCTATTACTTACTAGTTCGTTAATCAGAGTTTCTTGTTAGTTAATAATAGTTACTAGATTGTTAATATTGTGTCACTCATTGGTTCTTGTGTAGTTATTCATTAACGAAGGAACCGTATTCTAAAGTGTTACCGAGCTGCCTTAACTGAAAGCAACTTGCTCTGACATTTCTTAAGATATGTCACTGCCATTGTTTTGTCTCAAGATGCAAATTTTTTCTAAGGCATGTTTATTAAAAGCTACTTAAATGCTCTAATTGAACTAAGGCCTAATCCTGGCTTAATCTAAGCCCTGTCTGTGAAACCGGGGCATAATTTTTGAATTTCAATCAAAAATGGACTGACCTCCAGTTCCTCCTCTGTCATATCAACACTATGATGGAGAAAAATGAGACATTATAGGAATTTATGTCCACAAAGCAAGAATCAAATATTTGTATATCCATAGAAATGCCTAGGGGGACTTTAAAGCTAGTTTTAATCACCTGTTAGGACCCAGCCTCTCAATAAATGACTCTTCTAGAGAAATTTGGTCCTCATGTTTAGGCCCTTCAGAAGAAAATAATATACCATTTAAGAATAAGCAGGATGTATTGTGACTGAGTAGCCTAAATGGTTTTGTTGAAGTGTTACCTTCCTCAGAGTCATCCTCTGTTTGGATGTTGTTCAGCACTTGCTGGTCTTCACAGGCCTGACCATTAATGTTAAACCAAAATAAATTGTAATATATAGTAAGCAAAAAAATATACTAATAAATGGATTAGATGCCCATTTTAACTCTCAAACTGAGTTAATGAAAATTTAATCAAATTATCATCTGCATATTAATCCCAAGTCGCAAAATAATTAAGAACTGAAATTGTCAAACTATATTCGGAATGTAGAAGCTCAACTAACGTGTATTCTTATTTCTCCAGTACCATGGCGAATCTGTACTGTAAACACCAAGGTTTCTACAAATAAAGATCTATGAAATTCTGCCTTCATATTCTTGTCATCTATAAACAAAAGCCCTCCAACATTACAAATTCCTTCGGACCACAATAATTGGATTTGGACAACAGATTTCAAGCATGAAAACGGGTCAGGGGTAAAAAAAGGTGAGAAGGATACACATATACCCCCCCCCCCCCCCCCCCCCCCAGAAATGATTTAGAAACACAACAGCAGCTACATATAGAAAATACCCAAACATTTTTTTAACCATCACTTTTGATCTAAAATTCGTCAAAATCACTGTCTGTATCTGACAGGACAGTTAACATTGTAAGCTAACTTTCCGACGTGCCGTTCTTTGGTCGTCGGCATTGAATCCAGTTGTCAGACTCGCGGTGTAAAATACTTTGAAAACAATTCTGCCCCACTCTGACTGGCTGTCAGGTATCGGCATTAGGAATGATGATTGTTTTTTTTTTTTAAAGCTGCGAAGTTTATAGAGATATAGCGGGTAAATGTTGACCACGACCTCCTCCCCGCCGAAAGGTGAGGAGTTTTCATGCTTGAGATTTACTGCTCGGTTTCAAGGTAACCACAAGTATGGAAACGTTAAATAAAGACAAACGCTTGCTTACCATGACATTTACTGTGATTTCTTGCTCTCCACTTCTCTTCTTACTCCTAACAGGCACTACATAATCTCATTAAGAGATAGATGAGGCTAATAAGGCTGTTTCAGACATGTCATGGCTGCCACATATACTAGTATGACAAAGCCATTAACAACAAATTCAACACTACAAAACACAAACACACTGCATGCATGGAGCCTTTTATAATCCAAGCTTTTTCTGTGAACTACATGCAGCTTTTCACTAAACCAGTCTATAAAAAAACAAAAAACTAAAAGCCTTTGATAAACTATTCTTTTAATTTGGACAAGATACTTTGATGGCATGTTTTGCAAAAGAGATTTACAGATTTCGTTTTGCAAAACAGATTAAATGAGCAAATTTAGCATTTATTTGAAAGATCATGAATGACACGTTAAGAAAGACAGAAACAGACCAGATTTGGACCAACTCCACATTTATTTATGGAAAAATTATGGAACAAAGTCTCTAATAGAGGCGCTGTGGCTTTCCCATGGTGCTCTTGATGTAGAGAGCTCTGACGTTCTGCCAGTTCTTCTTCAGCAGAGACACCAGGAAGTTCACAGCCAGGTGAATGTTGTAGACCAGCTCTTCCTCAGTCATCCTGACATGACCAACTCCCACAGCCAGACACAGAACCTGAACATGACAGATGACCGTTATAAACTTCTCAAATGGTCTCAAGCACAATTTTCCCAGTTGGATAAATACATTCAGTTCTTAATGAAATCTTTTAATCAGCATGTACAACGTATCTTGCAGTTAAAAGGAACATTACAACACTTGTAATGTACACTATTGTTCAGAAATTTGGGGGCAGCATGATTATTAACATAAAAAAAGAAGAAAAAAAAAGAAGAGTATTTTGCTTATGAAGGCTGCATTCATTTGATCGAAGATACAAACCAATACTATGTCCGTCCACAATTTAAAATAACTAATTTATATTTTAGCGATGCACGATACATCGACCACATATTGATATCTGCCGATAAATGGTCATTTTTTGTTATAGTTATCGATCCGATAAGAAAATTAGGTCAATATAGCAAAGCCAATAGGTAGATTTACTTCAGTTGAGAGATGCGCACAGTTTGCCATGATTGGAATCACTTTGAAAAGGAAGATTTGGTTAAGTGCAACATGTGCAGCACAAATGTCACAAAGGCTTCATAACATAAGAACACACCTGTAAAATAATTTTGTGAATTCTTGTTTGCCAGTGTTTCAGCGCGACGAGCCAAACCACGAACGACGTGCTAAGTGAGCTGAACTGTATGAATGGCGTTCGTGGTTTGACTAGTCGAGACTGTTTTCCAAAGATGGCTCCTGTCTGTATACACGAAGTGGACTGTCTTTATAAAATATCTCCTTATTAAACGGTCTGTACACTTACAAAGTTCTCAATGCTTCGTTTTGCATGTAGGGACCCTCATTATGTTACTGTGTTAGTGTGGGGCTATTTTGAGCCTTGTTAGTGGTATTAACTAGCGATTTCTTTTTACTTATTAAATGCCCCCATTACTAGCGTTATAAGCTAAACAGATTTAAGAGATAAAACTCTTTACATTCGATTATCATGAAAACAAATCTCAGAGAACGGTTGACTAGGTACCAATGTTTTATTAGACCAAAGGTTCATTTTGCGCCGGAGTTCTCCTTTAATCTTACACTGGTTCAAACTAGGCTACTGTATTGTATATGTTTGATTTATGTTGAAGAGTTTGGGACATGGATTTTAATGGTGAGCCTTTTGTTTATGTATACAGGCTATCAAAATATATACAAATTTGAATTTAGATTTATCAGCCAATATATCGGTTATTGGCCAAAATTTTCATATCGGTGAACCCCGATTATATTTGAACATTTTAAAAGGTAATGTATTCCTGTGATGGCAAAGCTGAATTTTCAGCATCATTAATCCAGTCTTCAGTGTCACATGATCCATCAGAAATCATTCTAATATGCTGATTTGGTGCTTAAGAAACTTTTCATATCAATGTTAAAAATGGTTGTGCTGCTTCGTGGAAACTAGGGCTGAGCGATTTTATCGATTCTGCGATATAAATCGATATTTTTTCTCCCAAGAAAGTATCGATTTTTAGGCCGCGAGTATCGATACATAAGTCCCATTCAAATCCCCCGTGTTAAACCCGTTCGCGTTGCATGAAGAGTGATTTGGTCAGCCAGCCGCTAGTGGCCAGCTGCGCGCGTGCATCGATATTGACGAAAATCCAGCTGTATTCAAACAACAACTTAGCTCTCCTTGTTGGCTAGGCTCCTTGCATGCTGGCTAGTAGCTTTTTTTAAAGCTGGGTCTCCGAAATTGACAGCGCTGTGTTGGACAGATTTGTGCAGCGGTGTTCCGTGAGTGAGAAAGTGCGCGAGGTACGGATGAGTGTGTGTGTGTGTGTGTGTGTGAGAGAGAGAGAGAGAGAGAGAGAGAGAGAGAGAGAGAGAGAGAGAGAGAGAGAGAGAGAGAGAGAGAGAGAGAGCGAGAGCGAGGTAGTGCTGCGTGAATGCGCTGCGGCGCTCTGCAATCAAATACGATTTTAAATAGGCTTAGTAAAAAAAAAAAAAATTTTAAAAAAATCGTATTCGGTGGTGGAAAACGCCGGCTTTAGGCGCATGGTGAACGCGATGGAGCCCCGCTATCCTATTCCAACCCGCGAACACCTCATCAAGGTTTGCATTCCCAGGCTGTACACTCAGGCAAGAGCACACGTCAAAGCCTCCCTGGCCAGCGCGGAGAGAGTTTCCCTGACGTGCGACGGCTTGACCTCGCGCACAACTGAAGCACGTCACATGTTCAGTGTCAAGCTAAAAAAGCTGTCAAAGAAAAGGCAGTGCAAAGAAACTGTTCACAACAGGCCACTTGCTGCACCTTTTAACTCTCCATTGAAAAGTAAATAAAGTGCAGTATTGCAATTAACAAAGGCTTATAAGCTACAGTTTGCACTGTTGTCTTTCAATAAATAGAACTAATTTTCTCTACACATATTTGATTCATTTTGTCCAGCATTTGCAAGCTGTACTCTCTGCCCAGTCAGAGACATATATTGTGTAAATGATGTTTTCAGTTTTCAGTTCAATTAATTCAATCCAAGTAAATGGAAGACTCACAAGATGTCACCAAAATCACTCTGTCCCCTTTAAATCTTTCAGAAAATGATGTAAGTGTATCGAATTATATCGAATCGTATCGTTGGCTGAATATCGTGATATATATCGTATCGTCAGCCGAATATCGTGTATCGTATCGTATCGTGAGATTAGTGTATCGCTACAGCCCTAGTGGAAACAGCACTTTTCACCCCAGGATTCTTTGGTGAAAAGAAAGTTCAAAAGAACAGCTACATATTTTTTTAACAAAGGTCTTAACTATCAGTTGATCAATTTGATAAAAAAAATAAAAGGCAGCCCAAACTTTTGAACGCTAGTGCATGCTGGAGTGAAAAAGTGATGCGATTTCATGAATATAAACATACCTTCTTCATCTGGAATTTGATGGTGGATTTTACTTCATCCACCTTGGTGATCAGGTTCTCGTTATGGGTGAGGAGAGAAGGAAACTTTCCTGCCTTGTTGAGACCAGGTCCCAGGATACGAGGAATCTGCTTGATCAGAGACTCAGAGGCCAGGAAAGCATCGTACTTTTTTGCTAAAAAGAACCACAAAATCAATATGTAGACTCAATACAGAACGAGCTATAGCACATGCATGTCTTCTAATTTATAGCTAATGTTCTGTTGACCACGAATCTTCAGAGGAAACTCACCCAGCTTCTTGACCATTTTCTTGTTCTTGTTGAGCTTTTTAAGAGCCTCGATGTCCATGTGTGGGAACTCGGCGGCTTTGGCTTCATCACAATGCTGCTGATCACCAAGGACACACACAGAGAACTTGGGGCGTGGGGTGGTCTTCAGCCTATGAGGAGTGACGGATTAGACTGACAGACAAAGCATAAGCATATCGGACCCCTTTCGACCCATGTGATGCAGATCAGAAGAGGCTTACCCATACCACCTGAGCTGGCATCAGGTGTTGATTGCACAGGCATTTAACAAAATGGTCGGCTTAGGTATGACTGCATGAAAGCAGTCACCTATAGCCTCCCCTCATGTTTTAAGACCCAGGGTAGGGGTCCGCCTGCTTCACCAACCCTAAGAATGGGTGGTTCAGACAGACTACCCGAGGCTGTTCTCCAATGCCTGCCTTTAACTTGCCCGCTCATGCAATTTAATCAAGTGGATAACTAATCCATGTCAAGACATCCAGAGATTTATTAAGGCAAATCAAAGGGCAAGCAGTGAGAAGGCTGGGTGATACAGTAAAGGTCCGAACCTGACGGTGCCTGAGAAACGCTTGTCCTTCTGGGGATCGTAGTTCTTCAAGCTGATCTGCAGTTCCACAGTCTCAAGAAACCTTAAATATAAAAGTCACTATAAATATCCCATATACAAGTAATGGTCACATACAGTGGTGTTAACTAAAACACAGCTGTTATTTAAGCAGAGGCTTATTTCTACACATTATGGCAATTGGTTAAACAATTATCCCATTTAACTAATAATCTAAACTAGCAACAACATCTGTTCACCAGAAGTTAACTTTCAAAAGCACTAGTTGCTTTGAAACAAATCACTATCCCAATAGTGACATGTGACATAACTACTGGATAAAAAGTTCAGATAAACTTCACAATTCCAACATTAAGGAATACCAATTGTTGCTGCTACCCATTTAGTTAGTAGTAGTTAACTTAACTCATTAGGTAGTACTACATACTTGGTTACCTGCAACTATACCATAGCTATAAACTCATGTTCAAGCTTCACTAGTACTTGTATATTAAACCGTAGTGCCGATGAATAGGACACTAGCACCAATCTCAATTTCTCCACAATGGAAGTATTGAAACACGCTGTTCGGCATTAAAATACTTGCTTCTTAAAAAAAAGTTCATGTGACAAATAAATAATTTATAATACTTAGAGGTATAATGCTAATATGGCTTGCAATACAACATTTTTTAGAAGTCAGTCAGTTGCTGGGAAAAACAATATTGTCCGAGTCTTACTTTCTCCTCTTAAGACGGGAACCAGACTGGACCTCCCGAACAGCCTCGTACAAAGTGTCTCTTGAGACCTTGCTGTTAAGAAAAAAAAATATATATGAGATTAATTGCATGACTACAGTTTACTCCCGAGTGTCTCGAGCACATAAAATGTCGTGATGACTACGTAAGATGATTGACCGGTGAATATATCATTAACATGCCTCCAAACAGTGTTTTAACACTTCAATATTTCAATATAAATCATGTTACCTATGAATAGCAGCTGTCAAAATAATTATAATTTCAGATGAAGTTAAATAATCCTCAGATTAAACCGGATTGCATTGCAGATGGCCCGCTAAACAGCGTGGCATCTCTCAAAGGCTGTTCGAGGTTGTCAAGAAATGTTACTATGTCCGACTGGCATTGCTTGACGATATATTTGCTCATGTACCCATTAAACAGTGAAATATCAATGAATATGGAATTAAACACGTTATATATAAATATATATGAATATTTCTCACGTGCCTCATTTTGCCGTGATGTCTCTCCTTTCACACGGAGCTCGGAAAAAGGAAGGATGAAGGGAAGTTGCGCTGAATATATGCGCCCGGATGTGAAGAACGGACTTCCGGAGCCGCCATGATTGTTGTGGCCACAAAACGTATACCCAGAGACGGGCTGTCGGTACACGATCCGTTCCACCTGCACGATCCGTTCTACGCATGCGTAGTAGACGCAGTAGAAAACGCACATGCGCAAATTATAATTCTGTTTTGCGATGCTGATTTTGATTTACGACACTGCACGATCTGTTCCACGCATGCGCATATTTGTACCGCGAAACTTTCATTCACTCACAGCAAAAGAAAATGGAGTTCAGTGGAAGAAATGAGCGAAATGAGAAGTTTGCCCTTTACGCTGCCGTTAGACAATATTTGGTTGACGGGTTGGTGGATGCAGCGTTGAAGAAGAAGGTCTCACGAATGGCTGCAAATTTTGTTATAAGAGGTACGTGAGTGCATAGACATCATTATTGATAGACGCCCTATCAACCGCTAAGTTACTGCCAGTGTCCCATCTTAGACCGGTCACCCGCTGTAATCTGTTTGGCAGGTGCAATGAGCTGTCAGCGCATTAAATTAATTATACCTCACTGAATATCAAACTGATTTTCGCGCGGTTTTTTTTGCTGCAAATGTCATTCATGTAGCTATGATACAGGACACATGGTTCGGCGTATTTTAATATTCACAGTAGGCTTACAGTAATATAATATTCTGATATAAGATATACAGTGACCAGACACAATATATGATGTATGTGATGTAGGATATAAGGTATTTTATAAATCACACACTATAAATATGATAAAGAAGCAGAAACAGATAGTTGCAGTAAAGTAAGATATTTTAATAAGTTGACACAAACAAACACGAACAGACACTCTCTCACACACAAACTCACACACAAACAAACAAACCGGAACAGACACAAACATACTCCCTCTCACACACAAACACACTCTCTCACACACACAAACTCACTCTCTCACACAAACACAGACACTCTCTCACTCATACAAACAAACACGAACAGACACAAACAGACCATTCAAGTTGAATTATGATTTGTGACACACACACTCACACACAAACAAACACGAACAGACACTCTCTCACACACAAACTCACTCACTCACACACAAACAAACAGGAACAGATACAAACAGACACCCTCTCACACACAAACACACTCTCTCTCACACACAAACTCACTCGCACACTCTCTCACACAAACAGACACTCTCTCACACACAAACACACACTCTCTCACTCACACACAAACAAACAGGAACCGACACCCTCTCACAAACAAACAGACACACACACTCTCTCTCTCTCTCTCTCTCTCTCTCTCTCTCTCTCTCTCTCTCTCTCTCTCTCTCACACAAACACGAACAGACACACACACACACACTCTCTCTCTCTCTCTCTCTCTCTCTCTCTCTCTCTCTCTCTCTCTCTCTCTCTCTCTCTCTCTCTCTCTCTCTCTCTCTCTCTCTCTCTCTCTCTCTCTCTCTCTCTCTCTCAAAAAGCAAGACTATGTAAACAAAAACACAGCCACTGTACAAAAGTGGCAATTATAGAATAACGGACACAGCAATGCATCATGTTCTATAAGATCATCATGTTTTTAGCATAATCCAGGGGATTAAAACGTACAAAATATATTTCAGGCCTAGTGAAGTTGGTAACTAACTAATAATAGTAGTAATTGTGTAAAGTTGCATAAAATGGTAATACTCACTAATGCAAGAAAAAACTACCTCAAAAAACTGTTATCTGTGCTGTTGTCCAGTAACTCCAGTTGGAAACTTCACCCCAAAATGGCGGGCTACCGAAACGCCACCTAGTGGCTGTTACCAAAAAAAGCATCAGAGTTTCGCCTCTTGTTCTTCTATACTCTGGTATTTGAAAATAATATTTCGCATTGTTTTAGTTAACACGTGTGAGCATGTCAGTAACGTTCCATCTAGTCAGACATAGTAACCGCCAACATTTTTCACCACACGTGTTTGCATCCCTGAACAGACACATGTGCACATACGTGCTGTATTGTAATACCAAACAAAGCAGCAAAATCATTACGTTACAAACATTGTTTGTCTATCACAGAAAGTAAATTATTCTACATTGGCCCCAGTGCACAATTCATGAGGCTGGTTGTGCTGTCTGATGAGCAGAGGCGGGCTGTCCTGGAGGAGTGCCACAACAACCCTGGAACAGGGAACCATGGGGGCGTGAGGGCGACCATGGACAGGGTTGCTGTGGGGTACTACTGGGATAACATAAAGGCAGATGTGGCAGATTGGGTACTTTTTTGGAACTTTAATGGAATTTGACACTATGGCTCTCAGGCAATGAATTGATTTAGTGGCTTTGTTTGACTTCAGATAATTATTTTGTCTAAATAATATAATTATTTTGTCTAAATAATAAATGTATCCATCAGGTCAAAAGCTGTCACAGATGCCAAAAGAACGACCCCATAAAGACTGTGTCTCCTGCCCTTCACCCTATTAAGGTAGAGCTTACCTTGGTGTACCACTTAAAGCAACAAGTTAGGTGATGTGGTAATATTACATATCTCCACAGGTGAAAGAGCCGTGGGAGGTGGTCGGTATGGACCTCATTGGTCCACTGAAAAAAACCATGAAAGACCATCAATACGTCCTCACGGTGACAGACCTGTTCACCAAGTGGGTTATCGCTGAGCCTTTGAAGTGTGGCTCTAGCACTGAGGTGGCTGAGGCACTTGTGTCAAAGCTCTACACATTTGGTATGGTCCGGAAAATCATCACTGACAGGGGCCGTGCATTTGTTAACGAGGTATGTGTCCTTATTACCCTCTCCCTTCACACAGGGCATATGGCATCATCACAATTCATTGGTCATTTCTGAGACCAATAAATATTGAAAATAACCATGTGTGTCTGATGTACAGCTTAATGCACACATATTTGCGGCGTTGAACATCAAGCATGCCATCACAAGTGCATACCATCCCCAGTCAAACGGCCAAGTAAGTGTGCCCTCATGACATCCCGCAAAACAGTAAAGTCCATTTTAGCCAATGTACACTAAAGTGCATGTAACAATTCCTTTCTATGTTGAAGGATGAGAGAACTAATCAAAATATAAAGAGGACTCTCAGAAAATATGTTAATCAGCACCATGATGATTGGGACATCCACTTACAGGCCATAGTTTATGGAATAAACACTGCAAAACAGGTTATTATTCAAAATGACTAGATAACATATGTTGCATACATGTTTTAAGAGTTTTATTTTGTGATTTGATGCAAAACATTTTGTTTCAAATTAGAGATCCACCAAGTACAGCCCGTACTTTTTAATGTACAATAGGCACCCCCGTCTACCACAGGCATTAAATGTCTGTGAGACAGACGCTGCCTTTGAATTGGCGGACCCAGAGGAGGAGCTGGAGCTAAAACTAGCTGGAGTCAAGGCCCTCAATGAAACGGTTTGTTCAGAGTTGTGTGAATGGCATGTTCAATTTGAATAAGAATGTTCGCATAGTAATATATTCTTATCTTTAAGGTACGGAAAAACATTGAAAAGGCACAGGGGAAACAAAAAAAGGCTTTTGAGGCAAAGAAAAGGAAAGGGGTTCGCCAGTGCTCAGTTAAGGCAGGGGACGAGGTCCTAATTGGGGAGCCCAAAAAGAAGGTGAAGAAGGGAAATTGTTTACAGGATCTCCACCAAGGGCCATTCACCCTCACATCCCTGACAGAGAAGGGTGTGGCAAGTGTGGCTATGTTAGGAAAAATACAGAAAATGAATGTTGCACAGCTAAGGCCCTACTTTCGGCCACAAGGTATTGTAATAATCCTACTTGGTGACATAGCAAATATAAACATGACACTTGGCAATGCTGATTACTATTTACTTTCCTGTTGTGTAGATCATAGCCATGAATCGGAGGGCAGCCAAAACAATGCAGAAGACATTGGACTGGTGGACCACCAGTATGCCAATAAAGGTCCACTGTGGCACAAGAGGTTGTGTCCTCAACAAGAACAAGTGGTGAGTGCCAAACTAAACTGGATAGTTCACATGCACAGCTTGTTGGTGTGCTTTAAATAATAAATGCATGATTGCTTATTCCTAACAGGGATATTTTTTATTTCTAGCTGACCTATGTGCTGGATAGAACACGTCCAGCAAAAGAAATTGTTGTTCTGGATGGCCCAGTTTGTCTTCAAAGGGAAGACTTTTGGAGCCTGGGGCTAGATGAACAGGTGGAGAGCAGTGTAAGTGGATATTGCTGTAAAGAGTTTGGATGGTTCTAATGCCTTTATTGTAATTATGCAAAACATTCTGTGCTTTCAGATTGGGAATGCGTGCTTCAGGCTGGTAGAGGAGGCAGGCAGGAGACATGTATGTATTTGTATTTACCTTGATGACTTACACATAAGTTTGTGCAAAAGTGAGTGCACCTCTCACATTTTTACTACTCACTTTTGTGAGATGTATGTATATGAAATGCAGACATACAATTTTATTCAGGGAATGGATGTCCACATTGCTGACCTATTTGAAGTCCCTAAATGGAAACTAAGCGAACCTAGTTTGCCGGTAAGTTGTATAATGTGTTGATAAGTCCCGCAGATACACCTCTTTAAGTGAAGATTATGTCCAAGGAGATCTGAACATAGTTTTTTTTTCATAGGACAATGTGGAATCTAAAGATATCATCATTTTGCCAGCATGGTCTAGGGGGTCACAAACAGCAAGCCACTACATGCTTTGTGTACAGTTACATTGTTTTTTAGTTTTTCCTCTATTTTTAAACCAGTTGGTGCCCCTATAGCTGACATTAATAGGGTATGTTCTTCACAGGTGTTATTAGTTGCTAAGAAGGAGGCTATTTTTCTGGACTCATTATGTCCAAATGGGTTTGGAGATGAGAAATACCGAACCATATTTAGGTTTGAAATGCATAAGCAGAGGACATTAGCAAGGTTTGACCTGTGACCGATTAAGGCTAACAAAGAACATAAAGTGCATGTAGTTACGTGCTACTATGGGAATTAAAGTTAATACATGATAGGGGGTGTTTTCTACTTTTTTTTTCATCCAGTTAAGCCTGAACAGCACTCTGAAAATCTTCAATCTGATGACATTGTGTAACAGCCTTAACAAATACAGATCAAACTGAGTGAAATGGACTGATATCCTGTTCAGGCAAAGCCTTGTTCTCTGGCTTTAGGTTTGATTAAAAGCCTTGTTCTCTGGCTTTAGGATTGAGTAAAAGCCTTGTTCTCTGGCTTTAGGATTGAGTAAAAACCTTGTTCTCTGGCTTTAGGTTTGATTAAAAGCCTTGTTCTTTGGCTTTAGGATTGAGTAAAAGCCTTGTTCTCTGGCTTTAGGTTTGATTAAAAGCCTTGTTCTTTGGCTTTAGGATTGAGTAAAAGCCTTGTTCTCTGGCTTTAGGATTGAGTAAAAGCCTTGTTCTCTGGCTTTAGGATTGAGTAAAAACCTTGTTCTCTGGCTTTAGGATTGAGTAAAAGCCTTGTTCTCTGGCTTTAGGATTGAGTAAAAGCCTTGTTCTCTGGCTTTAGGATTGAGTAAAAACCTTGTTCTCTGGCTTTAGGATTGAGTAAAAGCCTTGTTCTCTGGCTTTAGGATTAAGGAAAAAACCTTGTTCTATGGATTCAGTTTTGCATAATGTTTTTCCAGACAACTTGCAGGAGCAGTGGCTAATGGACCGTGGGTGGAGAAGACGGGCAAAGATTTTGATGTAACTTTACTTACTATGTAAATTTGCCATTTCATTTTGCTCAGCGGACACTATATATGGTTGTCAACATTACATCTGAGTAACTGTATATTACTTTTCAGCCATTTCCAGTTCAGTCAGATGGACAGAGCTGTGGGATATTCATGCTTATGGTAAACTTATACAATTTCTACTCAATTTTTCCTGTTTGTCCTAAATCTCCATAGTAATTATTTTTCTCTTTAACAGTATGCCCTCTGCATCTGTACTGGTGCCATGTTTCACTTTTTGGATGTAAGTTGTAATTCATGGAATGTATATGTATCAAAGAATGTTAAAAAACAAACAATGCAAGACTCCAATATTACATGTGTATTACAGACTGACATACCATCTATTCGGAAGTGGTGGTGTCTCCAGATTCTGGAGAAATTCTCGATCGCAAGGTAGGGCATATATTTCAAGCAGTAAAACATTGGTCTGCTTTACAATTATGCTACATTAAAAGTACCATACTTTTGAATAGGCATGGGCAGAACTTCGGGCAGCGCTTTGCCTTCTGGACAGAGGAGGCAGAACAGCTGATGGCAGGCACCCTACCACCTATTTATAGGATTTCTCGACCCCAAATAGTCAAGGTATGGCCAAACTAACCAGACAACCATTTTCACGTACGCATTCTAAATGTTAAATTAACACCGGTAACACCGACTACCGTAGCAAGCCAAGTTACTACCCGAACCCCGAAGTTCCGTAGTGCCAGTAAAAGCGATACAGACCCCGTCAGGCAATGGCAGAAGTGCCTTTCACCCTGTTATGACTTGATGAACCACTGATAAGATTTTGGAAACATTATTTTAAGGTAAAAATGTTACATAGTGTTGCTTTAAGTATTGTGTTTACATGAGGTAAAATATAATTGCAATATTGCTAAAATCCCATTATAATCGCATTATGAGGGTGCATGTAAACGTTGTCAATCTTTCACCCTTAGTTACATTGCAGCCATCTCCAAGAGACATTTGTTCATTTTTTTGCTGAAAAGATGTCTTTAGGCCCCGTTTGAAAGACCAAAACATTTTATGTTGTAGTCTTAATTTATGGTATTTTACTTTATCATAGGAGGAACAGGTAGAAGTGGAGGAGCTGCCCCTCACATTGAAACATATGTACCAGGCAGAATACATCGTGAGGAACAGTATTGGGCTTTTCACTGGCCAGGTGCAAGAACCATCATACATGTTGATGGATCATGATGACCAAATGAAAGCGTGGAGGGTGCTGATGGAGTCGAGGAAGTGCTATGCCATGGAGCCTTTCACGTTCATTTTTGAAAACATTCAGGACATGGAAACCTTCATGATTATTTGCAAAGACACCCTCAACCTGAGAGTAAATGCTGGAGTTGGGGTGCACAGTCACCCCTATACATTTTGTTAGTGTGTGTGTGTGTGTGTGTGTGTGTGTGTGTGTTACAGCGGAAAGAGTGTTCGTTTAAATGAACAGAGCTGTTACAGCGGAAAGAGTGTTCGTCTGAAGTGGACTGAGAGCTGTTACAGCGGAAAGAGTGTTCGTCTGAAGTGGACTGAGAGCTGTTACAGCGGAAAGAGTGTTCGTCTGAAGTGACTGAGCTGTTACAGCGGAAAGAGTGTTCGTCTGAAGTGACTGAGCTGTTACAGCGGAAAGAGTGTTCGTCTGAAGTGACTGAGCTGTTACAGCGGAAAGAGTGTTCGTCTGTAGTGGACTGAGAGCTGTTACAGCGGAAAGAGTGTTCGTCTGAAGTGGACTGAGAGCTGTTACAGCGGAAAGAGTGTTCGTCTGAAGTGGACTGAGCTGTTACAGCGGAAAGAGTGTTCGTCTGTAGTGACTGAGAGCTGTTACAGCGGAAAGAGTGTTCGTCTGAAGTGGACTGAGAGCTGTTACAGCGGAAAGAGTGTTCGTCTGAAGTGGACTGAGAGCTGTTACAGCGGAAAGAGTGTTCGTCTGAAGTGACTGAGCTGTTACAGCGGAAAGAGTGTTCGTCTGAAGTGACTGAGCTGTTACAGCGGAAAGAGTGTTCGTCTGAAGTGGACTGAGAGCTGTTACAGCGGAAAGAGTGTTCGTCTGAAGTGACTGAGCTGTTACAGCGGAAAGAGTGTTCGTCTGAAGTGGACTGAGAGCTGTTAAAGTGTGTGTGTGTGTGTGTGTGTGTGTGTGTGTGTGTGTGTGTGTGTGTGTGTGTGTGTGTGTGTGTGTGTGTGTGTGTGTGTGTGTGTGTGTGTGTGTGTGTGTGTGTGTGTGTGTGTGTGTGTGTGTGTGTGTGTGTGTGTGTGTGTGTGTGTGTGTGTGTGTGTGTGTGTGTGTGTGTGTGTGTGTGTGTGTGTGTGTGTGTGTGTGTGTTTATAAAGATAAATAAAGATACTCAAAAAGTGTACTTTACTACTGTCCACCACTGGTCCCATGTCACTTCTGTGTGTACACATGCTTCTTTCAAGTCATTTCCATTGTCAGTTTGAAATACTCTATAACGTTTCCCCAGACTTGTTTGTAGTTCTTTTTTCACGTAAGTGCAGATAGTCTAGGCAGAAATGCATATTATGTTCCTTTATTGTCTTTGTAAACAACATTAAAGAGATTATTTTCCGCATTTAGATTATATAGATATATATTAGCCTATATAGACCCATACTAATACAAAATTACTCAACTTAAAAGGTAACTAATAGCCGATTATAAATTAATAATTTATTTAATTTAATAATTAAATTTTAATCAAAAAAAATGACACCAAACCATCTGACAATACTGACCTCAGACCAAAACACGGCAAGTTAAGTCAGTTAAGCCTAATACCATACAGCAATGAATCGCAAAGGAGAGTGGGGGAAACTGATCATGTATGTTCATAACTCACAGTCACAACTCCTTTATTATTTTGGATTGGCAACCACGTAAACACATCGTAATGCAGCGTAAGCTACATTTAAAAACATCAAAATAGACCCGCTGTGAAATGTTAAACAAAATACAACTAAAGTTACACAAACATTGAATGTCTATGTTACACAAATACCGGTATGCCGCAAGTTGTGCCGCCTGGCCGTAAAGTGTTTCATCCACGCATGCGTGGTACCGATAGTGTAGGAAAACCGTGACGTCTTCTACTACGTAATTACGCGCATGCGTAGAACGGATCGTGCAGATGGAACGGATCGTGTACCGACACGGGCTTTGGTATATCCAGAGCCATATAGAGTGAGAGTTGCGACAACTCCATTGACTCCAATGGAACGGTTTTTTACAGCAATGGCGGCTCGCGGAGCCTCTCAATAGTTCCCGGAAGTAGCAGCAGCGCGGTAGAGCTACAGCAGAACAGACCGTTTGTGATGCACTTTTAAAAGGTAAGACGTTTAAAGAATAAGATTGTATATTATCAGTACATCTGAATCAAATTAACTTGTAACTTTAACTGTATTAAAGCATGCTAGTTGATTATTGCTCTCTAAATTAGTAGTTTTAGGGGACGTTATCAGGTAAAATAAAGGTCATTGGATAAAGTTAGTACCGCATAACAATCCACGAACAGCATATTAATGTTTTAAACCCGTTCTATTAATGCATGTTTATCCTTTGTTGTGTAATAAGAGGGAAATACTTCTAAACAGAGGTTAAATATAACATTGGGGAGTGTGATAGTTGTAATTGATAAAATGAGAATATCGGTTTCAATCCATATTTAATGTGCAATAACGGGGGAAAATCCTTATTTTAGATTTCATATTTGAGTAAGGAAAAACGTATGGTTGGCGTTTTTTATTCATTGTGTTTCTTTTGACTACTAACGTTACCTGTCTATATTATGATTTAGCTCAGCTGATTTGTATTGATGGGAAAGGGAGATGGAAGTTTATAAGTAAGATTAAAAAACATGCTTAAAACGGCAGCAAGCCGTGTTCTAGATCAAATCACACTAGGCTAAATGGGGTATTATAAATACCATAACTGTATTATATACTAACTCCTATATATAATTTATCCCGTTTTTGTTTCCTTTATCTCTTTCAACACAAGAAGCACAAAGAGGATTCGGTGGATCTTGAAGACACCTGCACTGACGCTGTACCCTCATCAATCTCAGCTCCTTGGATTTTGCAAGACTTTACTTGCTCCCTATTTTTAATAAACATTAAACTTCCCAGTGTTGGTCTTTGTGGAAAAGTGCAGATACACCTAAGTATGATTAGCACACAAGTTCTATTTAGATTGCTCCTGACTTGAGCATATTTTCTGTGTCTGACAACATAGAGGAAAGGCCAGACAACATGCTTGACGTGCAGTTTATTTGACATTTATAAATCCCATTGTGCTAATTCAGTGCAAAAGTGTATACGTCATTGACAAATAAACAAAGTCTAAAATCTTTTCAAAACTGATGTAATGTATATTTTTGTGTCATGAACAATGTATTTGAACAAGTTTCAGTTGTGAACATTTCTAAGTGTTTAAATTCACCTGAAAGTGTACCAACCTACCCATAACTTTAAAGCAATTACCAGTATTTGATAGAGATCTAAAAGGATCATTATGGCTCCTCTGGACAATGCATTATCATGCACACTGCAATTACCATAATAAGAGAGCCATGTTTGCAGTTGTGCCCCCCCCCCCCCCCCCCCCCCCCCCCCCCCCCCCCCCCTCTCGGCTCTGGGTATATCCAGAGCCATATAGAGAGAGAGTTGCGACAACGGAAGTTCTAAAAGCTTGGTTGTCACGTGATTCGCGTAGACCTCAGATAGTTCCAGGAAGAGCTTCGGCGCCAATTCAAATCGATGGAGGTAGAGAGCTGAACTGTGATTTTTGTTAGTTTGTAGTCAATAAATGCGTTGGTTTACAATATGTATATAATACATTGACATTTGGATGTAGTATGTGTATGTAGTTACAGCAATATTGTTTTTAAAAGATAAATATCTGCTGATATTTAATGTTTATTGTGGTCAACCAGTGTTGCCTGCCTTTGTTAACATGTTTTCTGGCTAACTTTACCTTGGTTAAAGACCGTTTTGCAGTTGTTTTGAAGTATTTTTGTGTTCTTAAACTTGAATGTTATTTAAGGGTTATCATGTAATGTTCACTATGGTTTCACAAGGACAGGTGACTTGCAGGAAACAGGTGAAGCCATTGCAAACAAGTAAAATGTAAAATTGCATTCATCGTAATGTTTACAATGCTTATGCACTTATTACTATATAAATGAATACATAATATATTTCATTTTAAAACAAAACATGATTATACACACACACACATACATTATTTCCTAAGTGTCCAAGTACATTATTTCCTTAACATAATTTGATAAATTCATGACATACATCACTTTAATCTATAAAACCTATTTAGTTTAAATTCATTTTTAGTACATTTAGATAATACATATTTTATGTTTTAACCCCCCCAAAATGTCAGGTTGTGCAACTGTCCGCACAAATGAACAGACTAAAATACTAATTTAAATGGTGTTTTAAATGAAATTCTATGGCATCATTTTAACCTTTCATATAAACAAATTTTATACGTTTCAGTAGATTTATAGCTGATAATTGAAAACCTTTTGTCTAGCAATTTGTATGTCAGGGGGGCACAACTGCAAACATGGCTCTCTTATTATGGTAATTGCAGTGTGCATGATAATGCATTGTCCAGAGGAGCCATAATGATCCTTGTAGATCTCTATCAAATACTGATAAAAACTGCTTTCAAGTATGGGTAGGTTGGTACACTTTCAGGTGAATTTAAACACTTAGAAATGTTCACAGCTGAAACTTGTTCAAATACATTGTTCATGACACAAAAATTTACATTACATCAGTTTTGAAAAGATTTAAAAAAACATTTATTTGTTTATTTGTCAATGACCTATATATATATATATATATATATACACACTTTTGCACTGAATTAGCACAATGGGATTTATAAATGTCTAATAAACTGCACGTCAAGCATGTTGTCTGGCATTTCCTCTATGTTGTTCTTGTACTGTCAGACACAGAAAATATGCTCAAGTCAGGAGCAATCTAAATAGAACTAAACATTTTGTGCTGATACTTAGGTGTATCTGCACTTTTTCCACAAAGACCAACACTGGGAAGTTTAATGTTTATTAAAAATAAGGAGCAAGTAAAGTCTTGCAAAATCCAAGGAGCTGAGACTGATGAGGGTACAGCGTCAGTGCAGGTGTCTTCAGGATCCACCGAATCCTCTTTGTGCTTCTTGTGTTGAAAGAGATAAAGGAAACAAAAACGGGATAAATTATATATAGGAGTTAGTATATAATACAGTTATGGTATTTATAATACCCCATTTAGCCTAGTGTGATTTGATCTAGAACACGGCTTGCTGCCGTTTTAAGCAAGTTTTTTAATCTTACTTATAAACTTCCATCTCCCTTTCCCATCAATAC